TTTTATCATTTTTAATTTCACTTAATAAATTAAATATAAAAATAGAAAAGGAAAAGTTAAAAAATCTCAATCTCCAAGAGACATTCCAGTTGTATTCTCGTTGCTTTTGAGGAATGTTAACATTATGCGGTACTGTTCCAAAGACATTGATAATTTAAATGTTTCAATTGTCAATTTTTTTTGTATATAATAATATATATGAGCTTTGAAATCTAAGAGTCCATCGATCACTTCAGTTTATATTAAAATGTAATTAATAATACATATAAATCAATTAAAAAGTTTTTTTATAATACAATATCAATAAATTTAATATCTTACGTAATTTTCTTATTTAACAAATTTTCATGAATGACAATTGGCATGCAAAAGCAAAAGCAAAATCCTGTAATATATATGATTATAAATATTAAAATACTTAAATGGTAGAATATATAGATCATCTACAGAGTTATGACGTGGCATCTTGAGATTTTATAAATGAATTCTTTAATATGTGCTTTTATAAAACATTGTCTAGGAAAATATCATATTAGATCTATTCTGAATATTATTAACATATTAATCATTACTAGAATCTATATAAAAATACTATTGTAAATAAAAACTTAATTTAATTTAAATAAAAATATTTTAGTAAAAGATTTGCATTAGTTTCCTACAATCATCTCAAATTATTGGATACGCTTTGATTTTCATCGGAAATAAGAAAAGAAAAAAGCTAAAACCTAACCGGGTGGAGCTCATGAAATCGAAAGAGCCACATAACATCATGATTAATTGAGCATGCAAACATAATTGCGTATCTAAACCCTTTAACCATTAATCCTGTGGGTTTGGGAATTGAGATTAGATATGATTAAGCAAATCCCATTTAAAAAACGTTGTAAACAGATCCTCTTTAATTACTCCTCCAGTTTAAAGACATTTTATTTGAGGCATCATCTTAACATGTTAACTTCTTCACATCACTCTTCTCTTCACCGCGTGTTTTTCACGTTGAGATTAGACACCAACACAGCAACCCTACGAAATCGGGAAATTCTCGTGCAGCAGTCTAATATACGGTTTAAGAAATGTGTTACCCGTTTTGTTATTATTGAGCGTTTTACCGGATTTGGTAATATATTCAGTAGAAAAAATAATGTTTTAGGTAGCGTTTATAAGATATATTATCAAACTCGGTAAAATGCTCACTAATATTTTGGGTAGAAATAATAATATTTTCGATAATTTTTTACCGGTTTTATTAAAAAAATAATAAAATCGATAACGTATTTTTTTAACCATATATTAAGGCCATCGTACAGTAGAAATATTAGTAGCAACAACTAAGAAAAATCAGACAAAAAAATATTGCAACGCTTTGTGTGTTTGGCTAACTGCAGTTTTTTTTTGGGGGGGGGGGCTTTCGTCGGCCTGGAGGGTATCTTTTGGAAAGCGGTGGTCGTCCCGTTTGTCGTAAGACCCTCGCCAATCTCAAGACGATCTTATTCTTTTATCTCCCGTTGTGTTTTTGACAGTTTTCTTTAATCTTTTGATCATAATTTTGATTTTTTATTGTTCGGGATTTAGCATGATGAATGTCAGGTCATTTCTGATTTGTTTTTAACGTATTGTTTAAAAAAAAATTCACATTTTTTTTCATTTAAATGTATTGCCTATTTTTCTAGTTTGAGTACCCATACACAATTTTTTTACTAAAAGAGTTTCTTTCATTTTTTTTAAAGATAATAGAAATTAATTATACTTAAAAAATTTAAAATTTTCTTAACACCATAAAAATAATAAGCTTTCATTAGCTTTTTACAAAATCACCTCGATGGTACTTCTAATAATGCTCACACAATTGAATCACTGATTCCCTTCCATAATCAGAATTAGAAAAAAAAAACAATGCACGTTTTACAGAACAATCCATTGAAGTATGTCTATCAAATACCTTGTCTTAGAGGTTCGACTAGAGAAGTTTTGGATTCAGGGGAGGACAAAAATTTTATATAAAAGAAGATAAATTTATAAAATTTTAGAAGAAATAAAATAAATTTTTTAATATTTTAAAATGACGAAAATAAATTATTAATAAAAAATACATAAAAATATTTAAAATCTTACGGGTCCCTATCAGTGTATCCCTGGTTCTGATGGTCCTTAAGAATTGTACAGCCTTTTTGAAGATAAAAGCAGATAAGAGGATTCTAGAACTTTCTTAAACTCAATTTATAATATCTTCAAAATTTATTCAATGGTTTTCTGATTAATGCGAATACGTAAATATATATATATATATGTATTTAATATGAATTATTTGTATATTAAAATTTATAAAATAAATGAGTTATGAGATGAAATTTGTGATTAGAGCGTGGACGTGAGACGTGGAGATCGGAGCGTGGAAAGGGAAAGGAAAACTATTCCATTTTCCTTGGGAGGGTGGCATTGACAGTAGAGATACGGTTACGGACAGAAGTTTTGATGGATTGCGTATGAGAGTAATAGGGGGCCTCGTGATCGGAGAAGGCAGATCCATGGAAGACTGTTCCCTCTAGTCACGTGGGCTCTTTTGACTACCCATGACCAACCCTTCGCTTTGTTACGAGCGCCCTTTTCTCACTAGTATCTCTTAAAATCATATCCAAAATATTATATTACATTTTATAAATATCCATAAACTCAGTTGTCCACCATCATTTGATCAGTTCTTGTTGTTGATTTCTTTATAATATTCAGATTTTGAGATTTATTTTTTTATTAATCTCTAATTTAGTCACTTTATTCTATAAATCAATATTCACTTTACAACATTAACATGTATTTCTTTTAAAAAAATTATTTATCGCGTTCACATATTAGTTATTTATTTTATTTTCTAAAAATTTAACTAAATAATTAATAGTTCAAACTATTTAAATTTTATATATTATTATAAAAATAAATTATTAAATTTAAATTTAAATTAGGTAAAAGATATGTCGATAATCATTTTCATCCGAGACTATATATTATTATTATTATTATTATTATATTACAATTATTATTATTATTATTATTATTATTATATATTTATTATTACAAAAATTACAACACGAAGACCCATTTTATAAAATTAACCTGATTCAGGATCAGACCCGATTCAGGCCCAAGAAGCCCAAAACCCGATTAGGGTTTTCACTTGTAAATTTCGGCCACCACCCGGCCAGTGGTCGGATTTCTTCTGGGGAGGAAGTTTAGAGAGAAGGAAGAGAGAGTTCTCACATTAGAGAGAACAAAAAAATGAAAAATGAGGAGATGAAGGTCATTTTTAGCCATTTAAGGGTATTTATGCTCTCACCACGAGATGGTCCACTCCGACGTTGTCACGACGCTGTCGCCTCCAACAGAAGGATCAAGAAGAAGTGCGGATAGCCGCACACTTCATCATCTATATGGTGAGTCACCATCGTAGATCCAGTTACTCACCGAACGAACAGTATTTTGAGGGATATAAAAAGCCTTATTTCCCTACAAAAAAGGAGAACACGTAACGCAGACCTCAAGTTTATCTTTTTAATTAAAATTCATATTTTATTAAAATGATAAATTTATTTTTTGGTGTCCAATCACACCCTAATCAAATATTGGTGGCGACTCTTCAAACCATACGTTTTATTTTGAAAAGGAATTCCAAATTTTTCGAAACGATTTTTTTTTTAAAAATCACATTCACTTTTCACAAAAAGGATAATTAAATATTGGTGTGAATTTTAAAATCTCATCCGGGTAAAAGCCCGTTTCGACAATATCAAAACAAAAAAATGACCTTTTAAGTGTTAAAAAATTAACAAACACTTCCAGCTTCGAAGAGTGGCCTTTTGCCTTCACACTGATTGATACCGACTGTCCTACTTATTATTTACATTTTCCTCCACATATTTATAAAGTAGTCAGGTAGTATAGTATATAATATGATGACAAACGAATATAATTTTGTGGATTTTGTATCGTATTCGTTTTAATTGGAGTGAGGATGGGTATAACTTTAGTGGATAGTGGGCGAGTGTGAATTTAGAAAGTGGTATCCGTCGTGGGTAGTAGGCGGGTGATGGGTTTGAGACCTTACTCGCCCCGCATCCGCCCGCCCTGCATCCGCATGCCCCACATCCGCCTGCCTACTAAATACCTATTAAATTTTAGATCATTATGAATTTAAGTATAATTTTAGAGATTAATTTATAAGTCTTAATATTGTATAAGATATAACTTATAATTTAACCAAATATTAGGTATAATTTTATAGATTAATATTATGCTTCTTAATGGACATGTTTATTTTATGTTTGTTGTTTATGTATAATTTAAGGATGCTGTCAGGCGGGTTTAGTCGGGTACATCTTCAGTTGGATAGTGGGCTGCGTGAGCGGGTGTGGATTTAAATTTTTTTACCTACAATGAGTGATGGACGTGTGATAAATTTAAAAATATTAAATATATATAGAGATAGAAGAGATGGTATCCACACTCAACCCTTCCGTTTGTCATCTCTAGTATATAACCACATATACATATTTACATATAGATAGGTTTTTTTTTTAATCTGGCATAACATGCAACCTGGGTCCCCCACTGTCTATTATCTTTATTTTCTCGCTTGCTATATATACGTATGTACATCTCTCCATTTGCAATTCACGACAACGTGGACTGCAGATGCTGACTGCTATTTTCGCTATTTTATTAGCTTATAAACCTACCAGACAATACCTCTTCTCAGTCTTATAAGTTTTCATTCAAAGACTATATTATTGCCTCGGTTGATACTATTTGGCTCCTTCTCCCCTGTCATCGCCTTTTAACTATAAACTCACCATCCCCATCTTCACTTTCAATATCCCTCTTCTTTCTTTTTCCTCTTCATCGTCTGCAAATCCTTTGTTTCTTCATATTCCCATTCGATACTTTTTTTTAATATATATATATATATATATAGTGCTGATATTGAGGTGAAAGGGTTGTATAGATCATAGAGAAAAAATGATGCACAGGTGCAGTAGCTCTCAAGGAAACATGGTTAGACCGTGTTCATGTGGCTTGTTCCATGGCCAAAACAACTCCTTCTCGATGCTGTTTTCCATGCCGAACCACAAATCTTACGACGTAACGGGTAACTCTTTCACGTCCTCTTCATCTTCTTCGGTTGATTGCACTCTCTCCTTGGGAACCCCTTCGACTCGTCTCTGTGAAGACGACGATAGGCGTTCACGCCACGACCGCCGCTCCGGTAATTCATGCATGTCGAACTTGTTGCAGAACAAGAACACGCACGGTTATTCACAGCAAACGACGAAAGCTAGCCGTGGAAGCAACGGGAATAGCGGTGGCAGCTCGGGCAATGATCCTCTCCTCGCCCGTCGTTGTGCTAACTGTGACACAACTTCTACACCGCTTTGGAGGAATGGTCCAAGAGGTCCAAAGGTATTCAAGTTTACAAATTTCAATGATTCCTTCCATTATATCGTTTCTGTTGTCTTAGATTTTCGTTTTCTGTCGTTGTTGTTTAATATTACAGTCACTTTGCAATGCCTGTGGAATTCGATTCAAAAAGGAAGAAAGGAGATCATTAGCAGCAAATGCTCCAATGGTGGAACAGCAATATCACGGACACAACAACGATTCATGGGCTTCAATGCAATGTTTCTCATCGACGGTAAATGAAATCAAGTTCATCGAAGATGGCGATCCCTTCCTTTCTTGGAGACTCAACATCACTGATAGGCCAACAAGCTTTGTTCATGACTTTACAAGATGAAAAAAAGAAAAGGAAAGAAAATTCTCCTCGCCATTGACGGTCAAGATCATGTAACAATGACCTAAAGGTATCACAATGTCGATGTTGATGGTGATTTTGTTTTACGATGGGGAGAGTGAGATATGGTCTTCGTTTCGACTAATCAAAATTCTATTTTCTTTCTTTTAGTTTGTTTGCTTTGTTTGTCTTAGGTACTTTTTTTTAGTTTTCCTTTAATTTCTTTCATTTTCAGTTTTCTATAAAAACCTTTCTGTTTCAAGAGACTTTCACTTTTCCCCTAGTCCCCTCCAGTTCTATCAGATATCATGATTAAGATGACGATGATGATGATCAGCAGCTCAGCACCGTTAGATTTGAATACTGATTTCCCTGATGCAATGTAATAGATATACGACGTGTAGTTAGCTTACATATGCAAAAGAAAAAGGTAGTAGTACTTTTTTTCGTGTTATATGAACTGAAGTTTTCATTACATGAAGAACATAAAATTTCTGTTCATCACGTGAAGCTGCTACTTCTTGATTTTCTCTGAATTTGACAAGTGAAAGAGAAAGTTAAGAGAGAGAAAAAAAAAAGAGATTTCACTTCATTGTCCTTAGAATGATTACGTCTGATGCTTGTGTGGGTGATGGATAAATCGGATCAGCCAATTGCTTTGTGTTTAACAATTTGTGATTGTTCTGAGTCGGAGAGGATACTGTTCGGTACAGTCGCATAGTAATGCAATTTGTCGTATTAGGTTTTTTGGGGTTTGCCGGTTTGGCCTTTCCCTAAACCAAAACTGGTACTGATATGGTCATATTCTTGAAATCTTGACCGTCAATTTGGCCTCTAATGCTGATGCACCTTGGGCACTCCAAAATGCAGACCCTTTTTTTTGAGGGTAAACTACTTATTTGATACCTTATCAATTCTCGTATTTTTATTCTGATAACTTAATTATTTTTTTCTAATAAAATCATACATTACATTTTTTTCTATTTTAGTATGACTTAACGAAAATTGTGACATAGTATGATATAATAATAGTTTTAATCCTCAAAACTTATACACTCTATCAATTTTTTCATAGTTTGAAATAATTCAATAAATCTTTAATATTTAACTTTTATTAACTTTTTTCATATTATTTAAAATAATTTAATACTTGATAAATTTAACCTCTCGGAGAAAATATATGAAAATACAAAGAGGGAGGCCAGTAGGAGTCAAACATGTATATTAATTTTTTTTAAAATATTTTATTGAAATAAATTATAATTGATAAGATTTTAAAGAAAATATGAAACGAGTTAAAAGAAATCGAATTTGAAACCTAAAATATAAACTAACACTTAATTACTACATCATGTTGAATATTTGTTTTATGATTAAAAAATAATATTTAATTTAAACTATACTTATATAATTTTTTACTTTTAAACGAATTATAAAAATATCTTAATAAATAATAAAGAAAAATAATAAAAATAAAAATAAAATCGTCGTATTTTATATTCAACATTAAACCATTCTTTGTTAAAAGAAATTTTATAAATATGAGAATCTTATTTTTTTATTAATCATATAACAAATATTTAATTTGTAGTGATAAGAGTTAGACTGTTTGGAGGCCAAATTGGTATATGGACTAACTAATTAATATGAATTAATTCAATATTAATTAGTTGATGTTCAAGAACCCAAGACTACGAACACTTAACCCACCCCCAGTCCAACACAACTGTTTGTAGCTAAAAGCCCAAACTCAGTTCTCCAATTAAACCTTAAACAAGTTTCAACCATAAACAATCCTCCGCCGCAAACCACCGTCAAAAAGCTTCGTGAAAACCACTTAACGTTCTCCATAATCCATTCTGGTCACGCAGTTACACATTTACAAATTATGCTGCTCAATGTGACTCAAAAACACATTTTCTTTAATCATTTATTTCCGAAATTTTTATACAATCTTTACAAATTACTAATTCATTAAATATTTAACACTTGAAATTATTTTAGATACATTTTAATTTATATCCTAATTCAATTCACATTAAACACAGATGAATTAAATATTTAAATCTTATTTTAATTTAATTATATATTGATTCTGACATAATTGTAATTTATTTTTTTATTTAATTTAATATTACTAAAATAAATATTTTAAATTACGAATTTTATTATTGATAATATAGTTGAAGAATTTCAATGAACAAAAATCATATTTTATTTGATATGTATAATTTCAAGAATTGCCATCACGTCCATGGTAAATCCTTATAAATTTGTGAAGCAGACATAACAACACCTTTTCATATTGGGTAATCTATGTCAAATATCACTCATCTTTATATTTGGGATCGAAAATGCCTGACGTTCAATATTGCCAATTTTAGCACGAACGTTTATGTTTCACTGTAATTTTGCCACTCCGCCGTTAATCCGTTAACGGGACGATGGCATGACAATTTTATTCCGTGACGGCGATGACATGACACCCTATCAAAACAACGTCGTTTTGACGAACCGTTTTGATGCTCAAGACGGCGTCGTTTTGTTGATGAAATTTTATTTTTACTAGAAAACACTAAACACAACGAAATTTACCATTTCACAACTACTGAAACAAAATAGAAAGAAAAGAAGTCTCCCCTGGTGTTTATCTGCTGAAATTTTCACTTTGCAAGCCAACACTCATCGTATTGTTGTTCCTCCACCATCGTTATCGGATAATCATTCGACGCCGAATTCTCACATCTCCAAGACACACCTTCAGACAAACTCGGTGACAACCAGTAGTTGCTTAAACTGTCACTCAAAACCGCCGGCGATAACGATGAAGACGCAAAACGGTTCACTTACCTTAACTTCGGGGAGGGAGCAGCAGCAGGGCTATTGGAGTTGACCTTCTTGGATTTCTTTTTAGCTCTCTCTCTTTTCAGCTTTTCATAAATGGCTTGAATCTTAGAATCCACTGCGTTCTTCAGCGTATTCAACCGAGCGTCCCTAACCACATAAGCTTTTAAGCAGCTTTTCAAAACCAGTTTACTTGGATCTTGAGGTTTTGAAAATTCAACCTCACGTATTCCCTCTAAGCTTAACCAGCACAATCGTACACATAAGCGGTGGCTTCAGCTGTTTCTTAAGTCCCTACCCACACCCACATTCTGTTCTGCATGAGTCTAATCTGTTGGCTGAACTTTGAAATTCGACACCCATTTCCCCCACAGTCTTTCCTCACCCTCTGTATGATTCTTCTTTTGAGGAGTCGAGTAGTTGCTCATCGACACCGGAGAAGGAAAAGGAAAAGGAAGCGAGTTGCAGGAAAAGGAATTGTTTAGTTTGTTCTGTTGGCTGAACTTTGAAACAGGTCTCGCTGGCGGAGATAGATGAAGAGCCTAATGGCTCGGTGGTGATGGTCGTGGATGGTGCGCAATGAGAGAAGATTGAATCTAGATAAGAAGGGTGACGGTGGTAGTAATGAACATTTATAATAGTTTTGTCAAGATTATACCAAGTTTTTATGTTAGGGGTGGTTGGGTATTTAGTTTTGTATTTTAAAGGTCTACGGTTCGAATCCATGAAAAACATTTTTTCATCAACAAAACGACGTCGTTTTGAGCTTTTTGAGCATCAAAACGATCGTGCCAAACGACGTCGTTTTGATGAGGGTGCCATGTCATCGAGTTATAGAATAAATTGCCATGTCATCCTGTTAATGGATTAACGACGGAGTGGCAAAATTGCAGTGACATAAACGTCCGTGCTAAAATTAGCAAAATTGAAACGTCAGTGGCATTTTGATCCGAGCATAAAGATGAGTGGTATTTGACATAGATTACCCTTCATTATTTTATTTTGCACTTTACATGTCTATCAAACGTTGTAATTTACTTTCTTGACAGCCTCATTCTTAATAATCACATTCAGTCGGAATATTAACATGAGAAATTACCAAAGATCATCTAGTGAACTAATGATATTACAGGCTTCCTAAAGGATTACGAGGAAATTGAAAAAAATTGTTAGACAGTTTATTTGGGGTTCGAGTAATGAGATATGGAATTCTCGTGAAATGAGAAAGCCAAAAGAATAGTGGAGGCAGGATATGCACGCTTTGCATTGTCAGATAGGGCCTTCTTGATGAAGGTCAGATTTCAGTTGATCCCAAGACCGAAGAAGCTGTGGGTTCAAGTTATCCGTTCTAAGTGGAAGGATCCTTACCCCTTTACCTTAAGTCATGGTAATGGTTTTTGTCTACGGAGAAGTCTCGCTGTATTTGGAATGAGTTTAATGAAAGCATATCCTGGAACATTGTAATGGGAAGGGAATGTATTTTTGGTACGATCATTGGTTCAATGAAGAGGAGGCTAGTATTCTCTTACACAAGATCAAGTTCGCCGACTCCAACCCGCTGTTTGCGATATGTGTCTCCTTCGGATCTGGGATTGCGGTAAGCTTTCGGCTGTCCTTCCCGAACGCATATTGCAACGTTTTGCGACGGTGCACATCCCAAGCTAACTTGGGACCCGATTCACCTGGCTGGCGTCAGGAGACTGATGGGAGATTTATAACCAAATCAGCGTATAAAGCTCTCCTGTAAAACGAGGTTGAGGACAAATGGACATTCGGATAAACTGGAAGTGGATTTGGAGGCTTTAAATTCAGGGTGTTTCTGTGGTTGGCGATACAAGATCGTCTACTCACGAATGTGGAGCAGCGTTCAAGACGTCATCTGTCGAACACAGATGGTTGCCTCCAAGGATGCAAACCATGTCTTGTGCTGTTGTAAAATGTATTTCCTTTTGGTCAAAGGTGATCCCCCGGAGAGATTGGGCGAGTTCCTCTCACTACCTTATGAGGTTTGGTTTAAGAAGAATCTAAATCCAACAGGTATATTCTATCGCGCCAATGAAGAGTGGGCTATTCCCTTTGCTTATTGTTGGGAACTTTGGAAGCACCGTTGCAGTGTGATTTTCAATCCTGATAATGTACATAGAGAGGATTTCGTTTTACATTGTAATCGGTTATTTGAAGAATTTGTGTTAGCCAAGCCCCTAATTGCAGGTTCTAATTCTTCTTTGGCTACCACTCCTTTAGCGTGGTTACGACCCTCTAATGGCTGGATCAAGGCTAATTCGGATGGTGTAGTGAGGTCTAATGATAATACAACAGTTGCAGGTGGTCTATTAAGGAAC